CACACACACACACACACACACACACACACACACACACATACACACACGATAGATAGATTTTCTTTATATAATTATATTTTTAATTTTTCTTCTTGTGGATATTTAACTTTTAGATTTCTATAAAAAATAAACATTTTTTAATATTCTTGTAAAGTCTACTTGGGGAGAGCGGGATCTCCTGACACAGGTATTTATATACTTAAAAGGAGAATCCTTACCACTAATCTACTCTGTATCTTTTGTTAAAGAATAAATATTTTGTGTTTTGTATTTGTATTTTGTAAATTGCAGACAAAGGATACCGGACCTGTGCATCAATGTAAAGTAACTCTACCGTACAAAACGCCTTAGGATAAATCCAGATGCTGTTTGTGTTATGAAAGTATGTTTCGCATTATAAGTTGTCATCACGACTTGTACTAAATTTAATAAGCCCTACAACATCGCAGATTAACGTCAAGACAAAATTTATTGCCTACCCAGAACGGTGACATAAATAAATTTCGTGTGATATAAAAGGACATATAATATGTGCAGCAATTACTGTAACTTATTGCCGTAGATAAGGCTTTTCTTCGTTTCAACATATACCTACGTGCGCTTTTAAAACTGACCTGTCATTAAGTTAAATGTTCTATAACATCAAAGACAATTAATAATTAAGGGTCTGTTTTGAAAGGCAATTCAAACAAACGTTTTTTTTTCGTTTTATATTGTGTCATCATAGATGAATAAAAGTACAGCTATGTATGGACTTAAAAACAAAGCTGCCTTTTTTGTACCATTTAACAAAACTCATGTTTGAATTCAATACAAATTCTTCTCATTAAAATATTATGCTTTATAAATATTATGTTTTAAAAATTACTTAAAATATTCTTAATTTTTTTTATAATTATATAACAAATGTAATATAAAAAAAATTTAAAATATTTTAAGCACTTTTTAAAACATAATATTTATTGTATTAAATATTATAAAGATGTGTACTTTTTAAAATTATTTTGCTTATGAAAGTTCAACGAGGCGCGTAGCGTTTCGGGCGGGCGGCTACGGCTGTAAGCGGCGCTTTACAAAGGTGCGTTCGCGCATGGGATCACTGCGTACTCCAGTTTCACATAGCGCCTCCACCTCGTATAAAAGCCAACGCCGCCGATCTGAAAAATCATTCCTGCATCACACATCCTCCGCAGATCACCTATCACCTGCTCTTTTAAAATTGTAAAAAACAAAATGAAATCGGTGAGTCATTAACACAGTATAATATACATATGATAACCATAGCTAAATTAGACGCGACTAACGTGCATGGTTTGTGATAAATAGATAATCTTACTAATACTAATTTCTCGTTAATTATTTTCTTTGTACGTTAGCAATAATATTTTTTTATATAACGTAAAATTATTATCATTCGAAAGATTTTTACAATTAGGTCAATACTACCTTATCACTACCTTATCCAGTAAAATAATTTCGTTAATATTTATTAAGTGTATTTGTACTTACTTAATATTACTTATATTTTTGTACATTGAATATTTAATTATTTTAATGGGTTTGCTATAAGCGTAGCTTCAACTGTACATATGTATCTGAAAAAGTATTCCAGCCTATTGGATATGTAGACATTCACTCGTAACATTACACTAATAATTTTGGAAAACGACTAATACTTCTTCACAAAACATTCACTAATAATAACGGAAAAGAGACAACTGAACGCGTCATGTTCAACTGATTACTCACTAACATGCGCGTCATAACATAATTATGATAAATAAAGAACACCACTTTCAATTGACTATTCGCGCAATAGTGCAAGCACGACTTCCGTCAAGACTGCCTCATTCTCGTGCCATGTCAGCGTTTACAAAACAATACCTGATTCTATGATACGGCTGTCCTTTGTGTGCTATTATTTCTAACAAATGTATCTAACTGCCATTTTCTCACGCAACTTTTGACTAGATGTATATTGCTGTTGTAGGAATTTTATTCGAACAAAATACAAGTTTGCTACAGTATATATAGCATAGTATGATAAAAATGTAATGAAACAAGCGCTCGTTAAGCTGTCCGCGTCGTTAATATCCTCAATTACAAGAACATTTAGTTTGTTTTTAATTCTATATAGGTAGTTAAATAATACAGATTAAACAATAAAAACAGAAAATGAAAAAACAAACTAATAAAAAAACAAGTTACCTAACAATCAGATCTTAAATAAAGTGACTATGAAAAATTATTGAAATCTGTAAATATCAAAGAGTACGGTCGAGTTTTGATAACATAAAAAATACAGTCGAACTGCCAAATGTCTTCTTTACTGAAGTGGTTGATGGTAGGTACGCAATTTAAATAATGATGACTTTTTTATTAAAAAAAAGGATCTCAATAGTTAGTGGAATTACATCAATCTGACAAATTTTATTGAAATCGGTTAACGGAACATAGGTTAAGGCAATCCAATAAACCGGATTCATCACATCATAGTTTGCCATCCTTAGAGGTGGAATATTTCCATCAAATTTGAATGGGATCACTATTGAGGTACCCCTTTACAGCAAAAAAGTCATCAAAATTGGTTCACAAATGTCGAAGTAATCGCGTACATGCAAAAAAAAATACAATGGTATTAAGAACCTTCGTCTTTTTTGAAGTTGATTTAAAAATGCATAATTACGAAACGAATAACTATATAACACATTTTAAAGATGCGTGTACATTACTAGTTTTGTCAATTTTCCTTAGTAAGTACGTAATCACGAGTACTCGTAACCACAAGTTATGCATACATATAACTTAAATTAAAAAATTGCAAAACTCCTTATCTTTCACATTTCTAGATTTCATCAAATAAATAGCAACAACTTCTGCGCAATTTTGTAATTGGCTCAAAGGAGCGTGGGATGATCGAGTCCCGTGCAATATCGTTTCATAGAAATATCACGAAAACAATTTACGTGAGTCAAACATATCGTTTACGGGTCAAACCGAAAATTAGATTGGTATTTACTTTGTTTTTATTAGATCTAAGCCAGGTTAGAATAATGGTCTGTCTTTTTTACCTACATACTTTAAGATAGGAATTTTGAAACTGTTTGCAATTGGTGTAACGGACTGCTTATTATTTAAGCAAATTTTGTTTGCTTACATCGAAACAATCATCTTCTATTATATATAAAATGTGTGACTTATACCTTATTTGTTATCATAAAGGACTATGACTGATAATAACTCGGATTGATTAGTTTTTATCAGGGTTCGAAGTGATAATTATCATTAATAATTATCGTTATAATATTCACTTTCCATCAGGTGAGATGAAGATCAAATGCGCACTTACATTTTATAAAAAAAAATCACGATAATTATCTTTATAATAGTTTTCTCACTGTTTGACATTTTTAGACAAAAGCTAAAGAGATAACACTATAAATCAGCAAGGATAGTAAAATTATCAAAAATGATAACATGATAATTTCTTGATCATTTAGAGTCATGGATTTTATTATTTTACTAGACGCAGGTAATACAATAGAATTCTCATTTATGTATATTCCTAAAATAGTTTGTAATTAAATGACTGTGACCTTGGTCTTGGAGTTGCCTTATTGGATGTTAAAACGAATTTGACTAAAAATCGAATTCCGTCACTTTGAAAATCAACTTGCGAAACATTGGTAGACCACCATAAAACATCTTAATCTAATGTCAATGCCCAATGTTTTGAAATATACGCTTATTGGATGATACATATTTGGTAACAGTGATCAAATTCACAAAGAGAAGTTCCACTTTAGTTAGAGGTCAACTAGGTGCTTTAGCTCCTGGGGCAATCGGCACAGATTGATAGCCAGACTAGTCCATAAAAGTCATTATTTGCATCACATTAGGCATTTGACTGTTATCTAAATTTATTGTTATTTTTATTGGAAAGAAAGAATGTTATAGAAAAAATAGTAATTCTTAATATTTTTCTTTCTTTTTTCTCACCACTACATAGGAAGCACATGAAGCATAATATCAAGAACAATGCATAAAAACAATAATAAACTAGACGTAAGGTCTGTACTTCAGGTCATCAAAAATCGTGTCGTGTGCGGTTCAAGACGCCGTTTGCTTAGGGGTTCGCTTACAATTTACAATGTAATATTACAGTTTTAGTATATGTAAATAATATTAAAAATCTTGTTCGACTTGTTCGCTCGGTCACTTGGTATCATAAAATAATAATAATGAAAAGATATAATGTAAAAGATATTATCTTAATTGTTCTTTCTACTACAGGCATTATTCCCAACCATCCTATCCCTAGCCTCAAACTATTAGGCTGTAAAGAAAGCCTCTGCATTACCTTGCAAAAAGCTGTAATTTTAAACACATGCCGCATTGTCAGAAAGTTCATACAGATGGAAGACGACGAAGTAGGCTCTTATTGCGCACCCTCCACATAGATACACGCCATACTACATTTATTTGATTTCGGTACGTGCCTGGAACCAGCCAACAGGTTGAGAAAAAATAAAATAAATACTAATAATAATAATAATCTCATGAAAGCCGAAACCGAGAAACGTAACGGAAGTATCTCGATCGGGAGCACGAGATCACCAACATGTGGGATGTGGCTCTAACTAAAATAATCACAACTGTTTAGTCCGCAAACTGGTTAATTCCAGTCATCCTCGCCAGCAGCTTGAGGCGGTTGGATTTCTGTGACGTGTCGCTTCCAGCACAAATTTCAGAAGGCAGTCCTGTTCGATAGGGCACGTATTGTACGTCGGTTCTTGAACCTGAATCCCTGACCCCGGCCAATACTGCTACTTCCATTTAAAAATTCAAAATTTATCGTTTAGGCCATGGAAGAGGTGATAGCGTAAAATAAATATAATAATAATGTGCCAGACAATTACATCGAGAACTTGGTCTCAATCTACGGAATTCCCTATACTATGAGTGCCAGAACAACGAAATTCACTCTTGAGCACTATAGATCTCAACTGCCTCCGTGGCCGAACGGTTACCATGACGGACTGCCACGCAGAGGTCCTGGGTTCGATACCAGGACCGGGAAAAATATTTGTATGGCCTACATTTATTTCTGTTGTGAGTTTGGGTGTAATTTGTGGTTGTCTATGTGTGTGTCCATGCCACCCGCTACATAGGGTTTCCTTAGTGCGGGGCTACGTAGATTGTGTGCGATATTATTATTATTATTTTATTATTATAGATCAGAACCAATTTAAAAAGTTCACTTCCCAATTTCGACATACCGGGAATCGAACCCGGGACCGCCCCATCCAGCGCCCACGGTGCAAACCATTGAGTCACGGAGGTTGTCAACTGGGTTATTAACCAATCTACATCATGATTTTCAGTTCGTGGTTTTAGCCGCCTTCCTGGCCGTGGCGTACGCTGCACCTCAATTCCAGTACCAACCACAACACTCACAGGGACAGGCAATCCCTATCCTCAGGCAGTCGCAAGAAGTCAACTTTGATGGCTCTTATCAATACAGGTACTAAACAGTAATAAATATATTATTATATTATAGATACTTATGATTTTCATAATTACGAAAGCATTGTTAACTCATTATGTAAACCGTAATAGTATGTAATAACTATTGTGACAAATAACTCTCATTATGAACGGAGTAGGGTGGGTAAATGTACACAGAGTACAGCATGCAATTTTAGTGTTATAAGAATAGGCTATATGTATGTGTTTTGTTACACGAAAATAGGCATTCCTTTGGCGTCAAGTATATTACATTGTGGGAGTGATCGCGGAAAGGTGACGCCATCGTTTAGACTCGATGCAATGTTCAATATAAAAATGATTCACCTGCATTTACAAGCACGGGTTTGACAATTTTACATTAGTTAAATTCAGAATTTTTTAAATTTACATTAAAAAAATTAATAGCAGTGGAGCTCCTTGTGAGAGAGTTCATCACAAGGATATACTGCCTTACCTATTTTTGCCGTCAAGCAGTAATGTGAGCATTACTGCGTTTCGGTTTTGAAGGGTAAAGATGTTGATGAAATTACAGGCACTTGGGACTTTTTAAGTTATGACTTCGGGTGACGGGCGCAGTGGCAGTGCCCGATCAGTATCAGAACTTTGCGATTTAAAACTCTGAGTGGCACTGCAACTGTTACGAACAGGCGTGTCCATTACTACCAGGCGCACGACTTGTTCGTCTCAGTATCATTAAAAAAAAGTAAAGACCTTTTTTCCACCATATCGAAAATATTTTATAAGTATATGTTTATCAATTGACTGAACAAGTAACTTTATTAATATAAATGTCAAAGAAACGCAAAGAATAATTCCTTGGTTCGACTGGGACCAACGACTGTTGCCTCACGATGGCAACAGATGCTGGTTCGAGTTCAGCCGGACTGAATGAATTTGTCTTTGTGTTTGTTCAATCTTTGCATGAATGATAATTAATATATAATAAATGCTATAATTATTAACAATTGATTGGTGTATTGTGACAGTCATTCTCAACTTACGTGCATCATACCTGTCTAACTTAAGGCTGTGTTAATTTCAAGTACTTCTTTTTCTAGAAATAGTTGGACTCAACGTATTATCGTTAGAAAAATTTTCTAACAATTAACCGTTTAATTATTAGTTTATTACCATAAATATTTTTTCGCACAAATATTACCGAGTGCCAAACTAATTCAAATAATAAAGTCAGCGTGTACACAGGTTATTTATACAATACTAACAACCTCGCATGGCTAGATTACAAACTTCATAATCAACAAGTTTTGTTTATTAAAAAAGATAGTTGTACTGTCTGACAGTTTTTACGTCTGTATTTGTTAGTAAGTTGAAACATACAAGCATCCTCCCCGATTACTCCCACAACGTTTCTGCGTTTTGCTTCGGACTGGTATTTCGCTATCGCATTCTTTTGTTAACGTTTTATCACCGCTTAGAACGTTAAAATAACTTTATTTTTGTACGAAAGTAAAATCTGATGAAATATTATGTCACGAAACAAAAGTTGATGTTTATGATTTTAATAAGATACTCCTGTGAGGTTGTTATTTTTGGCTGGTATTTTACAAATAACTCTGCATATACAATTCAAATACTACATAATCGATATACGTATACATCTTCTCTAAATTTACTTGGTAGTTCTTCGAATCTTTTTTGTTCTTCTTTCTTATATATTCATTCATTAGATATAAGTGGTCTACTAGTCTACCAGTCCACACTCAACAATATGCAGTTTCATTTAATGTCTCATTCGTACTTAACGGAAATAACCACATGAATTGCGCAAACGCCTTCGCTTCGCTATGGTGGTGCAGAAACAAAGGATTCCCAAGAGCAGCGGACTTACGATTGACAATGCAATATTGCACGACCAAGCGGCGTTTTGGCCAAACCTTTCATTAGATTTGATATTTGAAGGCGTGTAGTATACGCCCCAAGCGCACCGAAATCAAGTGATTTACAATAGTCATATCATAAATAACAATGCTTTATTTGATTGGTTCAATTTTTGACATCTAAACTGTTTGAGTTCTTAGGTTTTCGCGATTGTTACACATAGGGAATGAAGCTATTGGTTCGGATGTAAATCAGTCAGTTAGCCGTGACCGTGTGACCTGTATAGGGCCCGAAACATTGATTTCTTTGTAAGTACCAATACACGATTTAGATTCGGAAAAATAGTTACATTTTTCTATCTAAACTGTACTTAAAAGTAAAATGTTCACAGTACTGTTATGGGCAGGCGTGTAGCTTACCATAGAATGTCTCATAGCTCACATACATTTTACTGGATAATTCGTCACAACGACAAATCTTCATGACATGATTATTATTATATCATTTGGTTAAGAGCGATGGTCTCGGCATGACAACAGTCACTGGTTCGATTCCAGTCAGATCGTATGAATTTTTGTTTGTGTTTACATCTTTGCATTAATAATAATAACGAAGGCGTGGAGTGTTTCCAAAAAAAATATATCAATATCATGGCAGGAAATGAAAACTATTTTTTTTGGATCTAAGTCGCGTATATTTGTTTTTTTATAAAAACCAACGTTTCGGGCCTTTTACAGTCTCATGGTACTGGTCACAACACACGGTTGACTGTTAGTTAGCATGAGCATGAAACCTAAAGGGCCCTAAACGTTGGTTTGTTTGTAAAAACAAATACACGCACGCGATTTAAAAAAAAATGGTTTCATTTCCTATGTGTAACTCGAATATTGTTCATAAACCATTTTTTTTTCAATTGTAGTTACGAGACTGGCAATGGTATTGCTGCGCAAGAACAGGGCTATCTAAAGAACGCCGGGGTCAAGGATGCCGAGACTCAGGTCGCACAGGGCTCCTTCAGCTACACCTCGCCAGAGGGCATTCCCATCACACTCAGCTACATCGCCGATGAGTACGGTACGATAAAACCAAACGAAATATGACAAATCATTTGTGCTTTCTTCTTCCTTAGCCTTTACTTTATTTATTTCCTTTATCAACTGATAAACGTTCTACTTCGCGACATATATAAGGCCCTGGTGAAATTACAGGCACGTGAGACTTATCTACTTAGACGCAATTTATTGGCGAGTGGACTATATAGTCCACTAAGTATGTGCATTATGATGGAAACACTTTATATGCAGATTAAAACACGTTTAATTAGAAATATTGAATACAAAACTGAACAAGGCAGTGCAACGGAGGCAACTGCCAAAAGTTTGCTAAACAAAAACAGTCGAAACATATTATGTTATAAATCGAATGTAAATTGTAAACAAAAGAAGTACAAAAACGAAGGAGCCTGCGTCACAGCCAGTCGCCAACACAGTGTTCCTCCACACATATCCGGGCCGTGCCCGGGACGTGGACGGGCCGTGCTCCGTCAGGGGCTCAAATAAATATCGTTGCGTCAAATTTGTATTAACTCGTTCACACATGTCCGCGCCCGGGCCGGCGCCGGGACGAGCCTGCAGTTCATACAAACTAGCACGCCCCGTCCACGTCCCGGGAACGGCTCTGATTGTGTGGATAGTCCTTTAACGCTCTGAGTGGCACTGCAACTGCTATAGATAGGCACGTCACTTCACGTCACTAGTAGTTTGTCTTTTTTAAGATGAAATAAAATGACAGTTCATTGCGCAAAAGTGTTCTCCGCTTGCAAGCAGCTAGTGATCGCAGTAGATAAATATTATATCGACTATCGACTAAGTGTTGGTTACGCTTATGAAATAAATAGCCGAACTTGTTTCATTTGAATCAGCATCCGCCCGTTATTCGTCCAATTGCTGGGAACACGTTCATTAGAATTGCTAAATTTTGAAAATTCATACATACATACACTAAATTTAGAAGTCTTTATTTATGTGTACAAAAAATAGAAATAGGATACATAATCAACTTCGCCTATCGTTATTAAAATGAATGTGAACAAAAATTGATTTCGATACTAATAGACCAACTGTCAAAATAAGAAAAAAGAATACAATAACGTTAGTAACCATTAGAAAGTCGTAACATTCACAATTCAGACATTTTTGACAAAATTTTACGTAGTGTCACAATTTTTCGATAAAACTATCGCAACAACCACATGACTATTTAAAATTTGTCGTAAACTGGCAGTTCTGCAAATGTCATTTTACTCCGTCTTCAAAAAAGACAGACTATAGCGTCATAAAAAGGCCAAGGTTTTAACAGGTGCTCCACCTAGATAGCCTAAAGAGTGGACTTTTTCGATATGTACTCGATGACTTTTTCGGACTTCAGAAAGTCAGAAAGTAATATGTAGTCTGCTACATTTTTAATGTACATTTACAACTAAACCAGTTAAACTCGCGGCTAGACTATTTCAACTAGGGTATCACTATTTATTACTTCAATACTACAATACCGAGTGTTGTGGAGTTCCAAGTACATTCTTTTCCCACACAAGCTTAATAAATATATCGGAAAATAATAATCTGAATATGGAGATTAGCGAATTATTAAGCACAATATGGAGCTCCATAAATTCGTAAATATGAAATTTAAAGTGTTAAGTTGTAATTGTTTAATTTAACTAAATAAACAATGTATACGCAAGTGGAAAAATACACACGCTTACTTACTCATACACTTGTCACTCCTGGATTAAATCCACTCCAAGAGAAGGATTCGTCAGTTGAGTTGTGATATAACAAATAATTTTCTTAGGGGTGACTTAAATACAGGAGTATATTATTACTATTTTTTTTTTTTTTTAATAATAACGCACACACTCAACATAGCCCCGCACTAGGGAAACCCTGTGTCGCGGGTGCCATGGACACACACATAGCCAACCACAAATTACACCCAAACTCACGAGAGAAATAAATGTAAGCCATACAAACATTTCTCCTGGCCCGGGAATCGAACCTGGGACCTCTGCGTGGCAGTCCGGCATGGTAGCCGTTCGGCCACGGAGGCAGTTTAAATAATAAACTTTAAACTATATAAATTTTTAAACTATATATTTATAAGTGTATGGGTAACCAGTAGTCCATGTCTCACGTTTATCTCTTATAGGCTTTCGACAACTTCACCGGAAATATAAGAAGAGAAGCTGTGGTAGCTTAACAGTTTGACCGCAGAGGCCGTAGGTTCGATTTTCGGCTCGCAACTCTAAGTTTCTCGGACTTTATAAGCGAAATCTTAATTTGAAACTTACCATGAGCTTTTCTGTGAAGGAAAATATTGAGATGAAAATTGCACGTCAAAGAAGGTTCACAACTCTCGAAAGATGTGAAAAATAACCGACACGCATTAGGCCAGAGTGGCGGACTATGGCCGAAACCCTTGCATGAGAGGAGACCCGTTCCCAGCGGTAGAACGTACAAATGGATTGTTCTTGATTATAATGATGCTGATATGGAGATGTGTTTAATTCGTAATAGGCGTCTGTTACCTTACTATTCAACATATGTTTTCACAGGTTTCCGAGCTGAAGGTGCCCATCTGCCCACGCCACCTCCAATCCCGGAGGCCATCGCTCGTGCGCTCCAATATATACAGTCCCAGCCCCAACAAGCTCAGCCCTTCAGAGGCTAACTAACAGAATGGCACGATCTATGACATCATCAGGATACTCAACTCAAGCTTGTATTGTTTGTACAAGTCTACATTCATCGTTAAGTCTTAATATAAGATTTATTGTTACTTTGATCTATATACATATGTACTTTATTTAAAATAACGTAAAATAAATGTTTAAACTTTATTTCATTTATTGTTTATCTATAGTTACCAACAATACAGTTTTAATTTACCTTTTTAATTTGGAACAGTAACCTGGAACTATTTTATATTTAAATTGTATTGTAACATTATTGTTTACGGAGTTCCAAATAACAAGTTCCTTCCTACATCGTTAACTTTCACAATAGAGTAAACCATAACAAATATATATTTCAAAAGTATGTATACATAATAAACAAAAGGCAACCTTTGCTAATTTTGTTTACAAAAAATATCGTCACTAAATTTACAAACTTTTGGGAACATGTTTTCGGGTTTAAATCGCGTATATTTTGTTTTTTCAAACAAACCCACATTTCAAGACCTTTACTAGTCTCATATCAAAGTTGGTTTGTTTGAAAAAAAATACAAATGTTGGATCATATATATATTTGTTATGTATATCATATCATAAATATTTGATCCAAAAAACTTATTTCATTTTCAATGTGTAACAATCGCGAAAACCTAAGAACCCGTTAGAAATTTTCATTTATAGAACATATTATTACAAACGATATATAACGATATAATACGACTTTATTTCATTTTGTTAGATTACTTAGCACTTAAAAGTGATTGATATTGAGCCCACTTAACACACACTTAATTATGTATATGTACCTACAAATCCGTAGTTTATGGACACCTTATTTAAAACTGCATGTGGCATAAGGGTGTATCGTCAACTAAAAAAAAGCATTTATCATCTAGAAAGATTTAGCTTTAAGTCTCTCTAGTTTACGTCAATAATAGGACGTACTTAATACTCTGTATAAATACGAATGTTAGCAGGTCTATTGTAGTGGCATTATTTTTACAAGTTATATTTTATTTTTCCATCATCATCAACCCATTTATACGGTCCACTGTTAAGCAAGGGTCTCCTGAGGCGAGGGTTTAGGCCATAGTCCATCACATGTTTCTATAATTTATATAAATTTCAAGAAAAATTCGTGATAATCAACTCTTAGCTTAGCCAACCAATGAAAACTCAATTGCATATATTACGTATTGTGTCGTGAATTCTCGCCTGCAAGGGAGCGGAGGTCTATAATTTTTCATCGACAAGTTAGTAACAAATCGTCGGTAATTGCAATGTAACACTAAGGCGATGATACGCCTTGTTAACATATTCACGCTTGCCCTCGGGAGACTTATGCTAGTAGATGCAAAGACTTATTGTACTGAACTATAACATTGTGTATACACTGCAAAAATAAAAAGCAAAAATAATTAGTCCACCCATTATATTATTATTATTATAACTACGCAAAATATAGTGTATTAAAAAAGTTTCAAAATATAGTGTACTACAAAACTCACTTACATATTTATATCGTTAATTTTTTTTTTTTTTTTTTATTGAATAGTTTTAACTACCATGATAATCGTCAGCTCTTTGTGAAAATACTCGACTAGTTTGTTATTATTATTGATATAAAGATGTAACAAACGCAAAGGAAAAATGGAAAAAAAGGCGACAGACGCTGGTTCGGATCGAAAAAATTTTTCGTTACGTTTTTTCGATGTTTGTGCCAATAATAACAACCTACTTTCGTTACTTCCTTTTCAAATGCTGATGTGACGGAAAAAATAATCTTGCATTTAAGGAAGTTGGACTAAGCACGGTTTACTATGTCTACGCTTTCAAGAAATCGATACCAAACAGAAGTAGTGGTGCAATAACATCGTTTGCAAATTCGAAGAGACCACGAGAGAGAGTGACCAATAACACAATAATGATCACATTACTGCTTGGCGGTAGAAATAGGTAAGATAACAGTACCTATTTACCTATTTCCCTTGATGAACTTTTTCACAAGGAGCTCTATTACTATTAAATCTGTCTCTAGCTCTGTCAAGCTCTACTGATACTAAATGTATAATCGTATTTTGTTTCCATGTTTTCGATATGTAACTAGCGGTTGCTTTACATCAGTAGTGTATTTGAGAAGAAATGTTTTGTAATTGTAAGTAAAACTGTAAATATTTTCTTTCGATTTTTTGCTCATATGTTCAATCATTCAGGGACTTAATAATTAAGGCCATAAGGCATATTATATCAGTAAGGCATATGACAAGGTACCTTACAAGATATTTTTTGTTTTTATTGTAATGGTACAAAAAACAGAAAACAGATTACAGCAGTGTTTTCAAACAAAATTATTTTTAAAAGAAACATCCATTCCAAATATAACTGTACACAGCATTAAAAAACTATATATTATGCGATCTTATGAACAAAAAAAAAAGGAAACAATAACAACAATACAGAAGAGTTTTAAAATACAAGAAGGTCTTAAAATAGTCAATTAAAAAAAAAGAAAAAAAAGTCAATTGAGTCGTTTAATGACGGACTTTTTGAATGCCTGAAGGCTATCACTGAATATATCATGGTTACAACAAATATCATTATATGTTCTACACATTCGGTAAATTGGACTATTTGCACAAACATTATTAGTTACGAAAGCTTGATTAGCAAACAATTGAGATCGGCGAACTGAACAAGTTACGTGACCCTTATGTAGATCTTATCCAGTAATATGTCACCAAATCCACCATTAACTATTTTGTGCAATATACATAAGTCACTGGTAACTCGACGGTGGGCAAGGGTTTCTACCTTAAACTTATTGAGTCTGCTTATATAACTCAACAATTTACATCGCAATCCAAGTCTAGTAATAAAACTGTATGGTATTGGCATTAGGGATTTGGCACATAAATAATTCCAATAGCATCGTTTTTTATATAATATGAGTGCGCATTTGACCTCCATCTCGCCTTCTAACCAGATCATAAACAATACGTTCGGATGGTGTTCCATAATCTCCATTATAAGTTTGATACCTAATATAAATATTGACGACGCACATAGGTATGTCTGGTTTCGTTCCATAAGACAGTGTATCCGGATTTATACTTTATTATTTACATAAATGTTCCACAAAAACGCTTGATGAACACTGAGTTCTCCTCGCATGACAACAACCCTGGTATTCTCTCGCTTGATGATGACGACATGTCGACGATACATTAACGTCCGTGTTAAAACTATCCTTATAGATAGATTCGTCGAGCAATCGCTAAAAAATGCTTTCCGATGCTTATTTAAATAAAAATATACCCTGAATAAAGAAATTCTAAACTGTGACATCCTGTCCGAAACTCTATAATTTTGAAAGATTTTTGGTTCATCTCGTAATACCTAACATGTTGAGCGCCATCTACAAAACTTATAATATATTTCTTAGAACTGATTTGGTCAAGCCTTTTATAAAAATTAAATCATGATCGCAAGTGTTGCGTACATATCAATCAAAATATATACTTCCATAGTTACAGAAAACTATCGCTAGATGTCTCTAAATTTAATTATACAGAGATATGAGAACTGAGCGGGATAGAAAATAGCCATAACATTTGATTTAATAAATATTATATGTATAAATCGACCTACTTAAAGGTTTGGAAAACCAAGACTTTCCAACTGGGGCCTACGAATTTTTTACAATTAAAAAACAGTAAATTAAAATGATAATATGTCTAGGGCTAACAAGTGGAATCACCATTCTATTTAAGGACTCATAATTTCACGTATTATTATTTTTTAATTTTTAATTTTATATATATCATATTCCTACATTCTGACAAATAGGGATACATAGTTAGTAAGACACTGAAATCCTTGAGATATTTGAAAGCTTTAGTAGAATCCACGTTCTTCAATTTACTGTTCTTACATTTATGGGTTATATTTTGATACAATGTGACCAATTCGAGTTTTGGTTTTAAACTTCGGTCATGCACTTATTGCCAAATATCGATCTAACGGCAGTCTACACTTATGTATGTTATATTAGACATTATAGTGGCGGTAGAGCTCCTAGTAAAAGAGATCGTCCAGTGAAGTACTGCCACCTTACCTATTTCTGCCGCCAAGCAGTTATGTGAGTATTACTCCGTTCCGGTTTTGAAGTGTAAGGGTGCTGGTGAAATTACAGGCACATGGGACTTGTCAACTTATGTCTCACGGTGACGGGCGCAGTGGGAGGGCCTCTCAGATCTTTGTGACTTAAAGCTCTGAGTGGCACTTCATCTGCTATGGACAAGCGTGTCGCTCACCAATGACTTGTTCGTTCCCTCACTTATCAACTTCGAGATTAAAAACCTTCGTCATCCTGTCACCTAAATGATAGATTTCTCACTATGATTTAAAGAAACCGTCATACGATAGTTCTGTACACAATTCAAGTGAAAGAGCCTTTGGTATGTTTTATTTTGAAATGGTAAAAGTGTTCTTTACTGTAACCTAAAAGTAAGCAGTAAAAACAAGATTAAATCAGCATTTTTAATAGAATAAGTACGGTCGTATTCTATTTAAAAATGCTCTCGATCTTGACTGCATGCAGTTAATGTGTGAAGTCGTTCTCAACTCCAAGCATTATCTGCAAACATGCAGTCAATCTGTTAGCAGCCTTAGATTATGAGAAACTATTAAGAGTTGACCTCAGCCATATGTTTTATGTCCTCTACTGTGTGACAAGAATTAAGCTTCAGGACCCACATTATATGATGTTGTGTTGTCGCCGGTTTAAGCAGTATTTATTGTACGGACAACGGCACACCAGACTACACATTTTTGTTCGAAAATCGCCTCCAGTGCAACGGAACAAGATACGTCAATGTGTGGCTTGATGTGCTGGCGTGCACGTATTTTTTAAATAGGTACCTATATCATAAGATAGCCGCATTTATGTTTATAAGGTAATTGTTACCGTGGTGAAGTTTCCAACTGGCTCCTACAGGGTCAAATAATAGGCACGCTTTGAAAGTTAAGGTTAATAACAACACACATGCTCATAGTTCGGCACAAGGAAGCCTGGTGGTAAGCGATATGCTTGTTCATAATAGTGCCACTCAGAGCTTTAAAGCACAAAGATCTGAGGGAATCTGCTACGGCGTCCATCACCCAGAGACATGAGTTGACAAATCCCACGTGCCTGTAATTTCAACAGCGCCCTTACCCTTCAGAACCTAAATGTAGCATTACTGCTTGACGGCAAAAAGAAGTAAGGTGGTAAGGTAGAAATAGGAGTTTGTATACAATGTGATAGTAAATAAATAATCCCCGTTCGTTATTGCATTACTCTGTAAATATCGTTAATTTGTACTCAAAAACAGGAAAACTTTTTGACAGTTTCACAAAGATAACTTTACTAGTATTTGACTTACTGTAAGTCAATGTTTACTAGTTATTACTTACTACTTCTAGAAGCACGTTAGCGACTGCAAATGTTCCTTATAAGCTGAAGAAAATATTATATTTTTCAATTTATGTACCTTCTGGTATATTTCACGGCTGGCGCCATTATATTTAACATACAAAAAAAAATTGGCACGAACACATAATTAAAAAGCCACTCAATCGCGCAGCACCTTGTGAAATTTAGGATACATTGGTAAAATCGTAGGGTAGGGACAACGGATTTTTTGGTAAAATCTTAGGGTTTTTCTCATTGACTTACAATTATATGGACGTCGGGTCCGCGCTAAAAAGTGTCCGCACTTGTAAGGCGCTAAAATCGTATACAGAGCGCGACACTCCGCTTTAGTCTTCATTTGTTCTACGGACAGCGCGATACTGCGATGACATAACAATTTAAATTTCGAATAGGTTGACTTGAGACATTTTTTTCGTGGTTTTTGTATTAGACCCGTCGTCCATTTATTTGTAAGGTAATGGTTTTTCTTTTAAACCCCGCACTAGGGAAAGCCTGTACTGCTATGGGCACACTCTTATACAACCACATATTACACCTAAACTTACGAGCGAAATAAATGTAGGCCATTCAAATATTTTTTCCGGCCCGAGAATAGAATCAGGGACATCTGCGTTGCAGACCAGCATGGTAGCTGTTCGGCCACGGAGGCAGTTGAATAAGTTTTGTTTCAATAATAGGCTACGATTTATACCTAGTACCCTCACCTGCACGCCGGACAACGCAAAAAGAATTGAAATTCATAATGATTTTTTATTATGCTCTTTGTATCAAAGTAATGTTTTGAGTATTGATATAAATGTATTTTGAAATTCTCATATATATTTCTTTACTTTCACCACGAAGGAGAATTAGAATACTTTTTTATTGTGTATTTTACGTGGAACCTAGTAATACTGTGATTTTCATGTTACAGGTGAATAAAATACAGGCATCTTGCATTTATATTATCTATAACATGAAAGTAAAACACAAAAAATGACGCTTTCTTTAATCATGAAAAATGAATGAGCGGAGTTGCTAGTTTCGTATCACTTCAATAAAAAAAAATCTATTGCTACATAGATGAATCTCTGGTTACGGTATACAATTTTTCCTTCGTCCACCTCAGACTTTGTGTAACGCCAAAGCCGGTAGAGAAGAGAAAGGTTTCTTTGACGGGCTCGAGTTTTGTCTATTTCTCCTAAGGCCAAGCCTACAGACTATCAAACTGTGACCTATCTCTTTGTACTAGAAGGCAGTGAAATCACACTATAAACTGGTACTAATAACGCAATTCGCGTTTAAAAATAGATTACGTTTTTAAAGATAAGCTGAAGTATTTCAACGCGAGGCTAGATATTAGGGTAGATGTGGGAGGTCGCCCCTCGCGTCCCGCAATCTAATATGAATATAATCTCAGTACAGAGTACTAAAAAAACCGACCTCAAAAGTACGTGGAATTACGTCTATTTGCTAAGTTTCATTGAAATATCCCCTAGTTCGCCACTATACAGGACTTGATACTGGAGATAATAAAAAATAGGTTCTCACTACGACACTACTCAAAGTATATCGAGAGAAAAACGCCTCGAATTGGAGAAATAGCAAAATCAACTAAATAATTGCTAAAAGTAATTGCTCCTAAATTAAAGTTAGGCGCTATTTATAAAAATGAAACTTCATGCGTGAACAGCGACCCTTTGAGGTGGATGATTTTCTTCAAAATGAAATGGGACCACTATGGAAACACCCCCTTTCCAACAAAAAAAAAGAATCATGAAAATCGGTTCACAAATACCGGAGTTATCGCGTAACATACATACAAAAAAAAAAAAAAGAACATACAGTCGAATTGAGAACCTCCTCCTTTTTTCAAGTCGGTTAAAAATAAGAACAGGTGGAGGAAATTTGACACAGATCCGAGGTCGACAAACGCCTGATGGCTACTGACAATTTTGTTGGGCAATTTGCAAATTATGGGATAAATATGAATTTGATAACTAATAGGGCTTCAATTGAAAACCACAATTTAGTAGGTTCTTTGTATGCTACAAAGAACCTACTTAAAGAGAAATATCTCCATGTAAAAGTTAGGTACAAAGTTAGATATTTTATTCTTAAACAATTATTTTAGACTTTTATTTTAGCCTGTTTTCAGGAATTTATATGATCAGATAAGGTAAAGTACATCCTATCGTGTAACACATTAGAACATTCTTTAGGCATTGTCCTTTGGTACATTGTATATTTTTTATAAGACCGTAACTTAGTTGTAAATACCTAAACCAAATGATATAGCAAAACAGTTTTTCCCTCTTCTACTCCAGTGACTCTCCTTAACGATACTATTAAACAATACTTAAATTTAAATTAGGTAGGCAAAGTCGATTGAAATGTAAGGAATGCTAATTACTTTCAAAAACAAGTGAAAAGATAATTAATATTGCACAATATCTTTTTTAATTAGCATTTAACAGTTTCATGCGCAATAACATCTGGCAAGCTGGTTCAATAGGTACGGGACACGTTTCTTTGAGCGCCTATAGTATATATATATATATATAATATATATCCATAGACTATATAGTCTATATCCATAGACTTTTAGAATTTGAAATATTACTGAGGTCACCGACCTTGTAATATAATTGTTATCAACCGTAAACATGAAAGGGCTACGGTCCTGTGCACTATGGTTATTGACAGCCAAGAGACATTTGTGTTGTTTATTACCCAGAATAGTTTTATTTTATTAAATGTTGAATAATTTATTTCATTCACCATTATTTTTAACTTTTGTTTTTTGTTTATAAGAAGTTTAAAACCTTAGACCCTATGCAGACGGCGTATTTTATACGCGCCGACGACGAGCAAATTGTGTCTCGTGTCAAACGTGTCGCGTGTTAACGTGATTCAAATGCGTTATGAACATCATGCATACGTTTATGATGTTTGCCCAGATCGATCTAACGGTAGTCACTGTTTATGTTATATACAACTTCTTTTGAAAGATTTTATCAACTTTGGACCAGTTACCTTTAGCCTGATAAGTCATCTGTCACCTAACACAATAGGTCTTTTGACTTATCGTAATTATTTATAGAAACCAATGCAGGATGCTTCTAAACAATTCACGTCAAAAATATTTTTTGATATTATAAAACTGTTCTTTGTTGTATCTTCAGAAAAAACTGTAAAAATATTGAACTAGGATTTTTACATAGAATGAGTAGGTACAGTTAAATTTAAATAGCGGGTTTTATGAATCTTCACTATAACTTTACATCAATGTCAAGAAGTAATCTAGAATAGATTTTATCCAAAAATAATCATTACATTGGTACCGGTACATCTATTTACTCCAATTTTGATTTCTTTTCCAATGTTTCAAATGAAAAATGTAGATGATCAACAACTTTTTAAGTTGATTACACTAAGTATAGAATAAGTTTATTTGTTGAACTATTAAAAAAAAACTTGTTGTTGACCTTCCATTTTTTTTTCTAATATGACCTTTTCGCGTGGCACAATATTTTTATTCTCTGACTTAGGATCCACATTAAAGAGCTTATTTTCAACGAAACTAGTCGGATATCGCGGTGAAACGGTATTTTCTTTTGTGGGTACTAAATAAGGTAGTGTTAAAATTATTAATTTTGGAATCATTGATTAAAATATAATTTTTTAAATAAGTAAATTAGTGTCAATAATCCGTGGTGATATAGCTGCAGAGTTCGTATACTGTACTCTCCGCTAAGACTTGCTAACATTTACGTATCAATACCGATCTAATGACTATAAAATGAAATGTAATTTCATTTTTATGTGATTAGAATACAGAAGGAAAATTAACTGCCTCCGTGGCCGAACGGTTACCATGCCTGACTGCCACGCAGAGGTCCCAGGTTCGATTCCCGGGCCGGGAGAAATAGTTGTATGGCCTACAATTGTTTCTCTCGTGAGTTTGGGTGTAATTTGTGGTTGTCTATGTGTGTGTCCATGGCACCCGCGACACAGGGTTTCCCTAGTGCGCGGCTATGTTGAGTGTGTGCGTTATTTATTTATATACATTTCCATATTTCAGATGTATGCGACTATACTAATTTTCTCAGTGGCGATAGTTTTCGCTACTTCTGCTCCAGTGAACGAAAATGCGCAAGCGCAAATACTCAGTTACAAATTCACCAATGACGGAAGTGGAAATTACGAGTTCAGGTAATGGGAATTGTAGATTATACATACACTTGATTATATAAGGTGTAATCGCTAAGTGTCCCCAGGTGATTATTCCATAAATATAAGAGATATCAAAACGATACATAATAAATAAATCGACATCAATAACGTATAAAAATCATTTGATTAAATTTGACCCACAGAAGTTGAGAAGACAGCAGACGCTGTCCCGATTTTTTCGTCTCATACATTGAAAAGATCGTTACATGATACTGAGTCGATAAGCACACTGAATAAAATTTTATCAATTCTGTTCACTTTTATGGACAACTCACACTTGACCAAATAATTGACTATGCCATTATATTTTTATTCAATTAAAAGATAGTTTTATTGCTTTACTTATAGCAGTTTTGTTATCTGTTAACTTATTGTTACCTCTGACCGTAGGAAAACTAAAGCCTCTCTAAGAATGTCATATTAAATGTATGGGAGCGTTTAATGTTAAAATTGTGGATATTTATAGTTTTATTTTCAAAAAGTTATTGATGTCGATTTTTTTTAACATCAAGTGACGGGACGAACAAGTTGTGCGCCTGATAGTAAGCTACACGCGTGTCCATAATATTTACGACGCCACTCAGAGCCTAAATTGCAAAGATCTCACTACCACTGCGCCCGTCACCCTGATACAAAGGTTGACAAGTCCCATGTGCCTGTAATTTCACCAGCACCCTTACCCTTCAAAACCAGAACACAGTATTGCTTACATTACTGTTTGGCAGCAGAAATAGGTAAGGTGGCAGTACTACCCTGGACGAACTCTTTCACGGGGCGGTCTCCTGCTACTAAATTAATAATTTACTCATTAGTGTTGTATTTGGGTTCTATTGGAGCTTTTGGAGAGGTATTTGTAAAAATATATTCAAGAAAGATGTTTTGTTTTTGAAGATTTTTTAATAGAGTGTCAAAGTCATACAGATGTCATACAAAAGAAAAAAGGAAGCTTTTAAAATTCGAAAAATATTACATTAAGAATAATTTTCAGTAGCCAGTACTTACTACACAAAAAAAGTACTTACAACATGCCCCCTTAACGAAAATTATCCTAACCTAAAAAGGAACTACACAACTAAACCAATGCTAACTGTACATTTATTATGAGCAATAGGCCCGAGAGGTTTTGTAAAAACGTCTGCAGGCATGTCACTGCTCTTTAAATATTGTAAACGTATAATTCCGTCGGACACTTTTTCCCTAATAAAATGAAAACGAGTATCTATATGCTTCGTCCTGTTGTGATGTACAGGATTGTGAACTAGGTTTATAGCACTCTGACTGTCCGACAACAACGTAACGAGCATAGTTTACCTGTAATTTCAGAAATAAATCTACGTAAGTAGCAAGCTTCCTTTGTCGCTGTTGTTAGCGCCATGTACTCGGCTTCGGAAGACGACAGGGCCACAGTAGGCTGTTTCTTGGCCTCCTATGCCACTGCTCCGTCGGCCAACTTAAATACGAAGCCCGTGTACGACTTCCTATCTATAGGGCAATTTGCCCAATCCGCATCAGTATAACCGAGTAGGTTTTTTCCTGTTTTTCTGTAAATCAGGGAATACTTCAGTGTACCTTTCAGATACTGTAAAACGCGTTTCGCAGCATTCCAATGTTCCTTAGTAAAACACGTATTAAACTGACTAAGGTAACTAGCCGCGTATGCAATATCAGGCCGTGAATTTACAGCCAAATACATAAGACTTCCAATAAGGTTTTGATAAGGCAATAGCGGTAACTCACCATTCGAATTCTTAGATAGTTTAGTCTGCGCTAAAGGAGTCGTCACCGTTTTGCAATCACTCATATTGAACTTTTCTAATAATGACAATATGAAATTCGATTGACTTACTTTTATGTATTCTTTATTGCAATCGATTTGTAAATCTAAATATGACTTCAAAAAACCTAAATCTTTTAGCGAAAAATATTTTGACAAATCATTTTTGACAAATTCAAATGTCTTGTCAGATGAATAATAGACAATTATGTCATCAACAAACTCCGACGATAACGAGTTCTTTATCAAAAAATTTTGTATACACGCACGGCTCAGAGGGCGTTCCAATAAAACCTATTTTTGATAGAGTTTCATCTAACTTTTTATTCCAGACGCGTGGAGCCTGCTTAAGGCCATAGAGGGATTTACGTAGTAAGCAAACCTTGTTTTCTTGACCTTTTTCTGCAAAGCCAAGAGGTTGCTCCATGTACACTTCTTGTTGTAAATCGCCGTTCAGGAATGCAGTATCCACGTCTATGTGCCTCATCTTCAAGCCCAATTCTGCAGATAATGCAAATAGCGTGCGTAGTGAAGAATGACGTATTACAGGTGTAAAAGTCTCATTATATTCAACGCCTTTTGTCTGACTATATCCTTTAATAACGAGCCTAGCCTTGTATTTAATGATGTTGCCAAAAAACATCCTTCTTCACTTTGTATACCCACTTGCAGGGAATAACCTTCTTGTTGGGTCTATCCACTAGCTCCCAGGTACGAAATTTCTTTAGTGAATTGCGCTCATCATTCATTGCTAGCTGCCACTTTGCAGCATCATCCGAACGAATAGCTTCATAATAGCTGGTTGGTTCATCCACATCGTTAATTGACGCTTGATATGACAGGAAATCAGGAGGCTTTCGATTTCATGACGGATATCTTCGGCTCAAACGGAACTTCTGGATGTTCTCTTGCTGTATCCGTCTCTGTATCCTCTGGAACATTGTCAGGCTCCGAGTACAAATTTACAGGAATAGACGATTCTGCAGCTGAGCTGGTACTGTCAAGACAGTCGAAGAATAATTCTGATCCTCCTTCAGATCTTTCTTCATGCGTATCAAACAATAAAATAGGATTACAAGATTCAACCTGCGAACGAGTTTCTTTTCGCTTCAGGGGTGTAAAACAATTTTCAAAAAATGTAGCGTCTCTAGACTTTAACATTCTTCGTGGATTTTCAGGATCACGAAACAAGTAAGTATTTGGATCCTCTGAATATCCCATAAATATTGCTTCTTCAGCTTTCAAATCTAGCTTCTTTCGCAGACAATCGGGTATATGAACAAGAGCTCTGCATCCGAACACTCTTAAGTGGCTCAAGTCACTTTTACGACCACACCATCTATCGTAAGGTATTTGTCCATCTAAGGCTCTATGTGGTGACCGGTTCTTCAAGTACACTGCTGCCTTGCATGCATCTTCCCAGTATGCTATTGGTAAGGAGCTCTCAGCCATCATGGATCTCGCCTTCTCAACTATTGAGCGGAAAGTGCGCTCCGCAGTCCCGTTTTGTTGTCGACTGTACCTCATAGTAGTTTGGTGTTCGATCCCTTTAGACGCAAGATAATCGTCAAACTCCTTGTTGACAAACTCGGTACCACCATCTGTTCTAATTGTTTTTATTTTAGAACCTAACTGATTTTCGACTAACGCTTGAAATAAACAGAACTTGTTCTTTACCTCTGTCTTAGAATTAATGAAATAAGCAAAAATTTTACGTGTACAGTCATCTACAAAAATTAAAATATATATATTTCCTTGAAAAGATGACACGGACATAGGTCCACAAAGATCACTATGGATCAGTTCTAAAGGTGAAGATGCCTTTTTGTATGCTATCTTCTTAAAACGTTTCCTAGCTTGTTTACCTTGTATACAAGCGATGCAACTACTTTTGTCTACCTCAGTAAAATTAATACCAACTTGATGATCCTTCAACGTGCTCATTCCGATTCGACATAAGTGCCCTAATCGTTTATGTAACAGATTGTAGTTACTCGAACCGTCAGAGTGCTCATGTTGTGTTACATTTGCCCGGGGAATATTTACAGTACACTCTAGAGTGTACAAACCACCACAGGACGTAGCATGTAGAACTGAATCACCTGTAACAGTAAAATTTGCATCATTTTTATAAAAAGTACAACCATTATTATCAAAAATACATATAAATCCTTTCTGAACAGCTTGTTGAACTGATAATGAATTTGCCTTTAAATCTGGTACAAGAGCAACATCATTTATCATATTCACTGTTTTATTAGGCGTATTTATTGATACATTACCGACTCCATGACATTTGGTTTGATCACCATTCGCAACAGTAACGCTTCCACTATCTGAACCTGTGAAAGTCTGGAACCAATCACGTCTAGAAGTCATGTGTTTGGTTGCGCCCGAATCTAAGTACCATAAATCTACACCAGCAGCAGAAGTATTCAGAGCAACAAAGGATGTCTTCTTCTTCTCTTGATCCACTTCTATCGCTGCAACTTTGGCTTTGTTTCTTTGAGGACAGTCGGGTCTTTTGTGTCCTGGTACTTTGCAATCGTAACAAACAATTTTTCTTTTTCTTCTGTTTGGTATTGGACTTGGCTTGAAAAACCGTATTGACAGGCATAGTTTCATTTTTAGACATCTCGTTTCATAGTCTCGCCTTTACCAAATCAGTCGTAACGGGTTTGTCACAATTTTCGATTGCCTTAACGAGAGGTTCATATTTTGAAGTTAAACCTCCTAACAATATAGCTGCAATTGACTCATCGTCTATCTCCTTGTCAATATCTGCCAGGTCTTGTGCAGTTGAAAGAACTGCATTAATATACACCTCGATATTTTCAAAGTCTGACGAGACTTAATCTATATAGCTTACGTTCTAAAGCTAGTCTGCGACCCATTCCCTTATCCTCGTAGGCCTTCTGCAAAGACTTCCATGCTTCGGTTGCAGTTTTTGCTCGCTTTACGTGAGTAATAGCTGCACCGTCTACTGTCAAGCATATCTTGGCAAGAGCCTTATTATCAAGTTTTACCTTCAATGATGTTGCAGTGTTGTCACCTTCAGGATAACCAACTATTGTACACCACAGATCCTCGTGGATAAGAAAATTTCTCATCTTAAATTTCCACGTCGGATAACCATCCTTGTTTCTCAGGCAAAATGAGGGAACTGCAGATTGCTGCTTGTAAACATTGCAATCTCCGGCTTCACGTAACATTTTTATACAGAACGTCTTGTTTTCCGATGTCACGTAAACAAACACAATCGAAAAAATATTTAAACACAAATAACTGCTTCTCCTCTGCCCAGAGCTTCCTCGTGCTGATAACGTGTTGGATTTGGGTTCTATTGGAGCTTTTGGAGAGGTATTTGTAAAAATATATTCAAGAAAGATGTGTTTGTTTTTGAAGATTTTTTAATAGAGTGTCAAAGTCATACAGATGTCATACAAAAGAAAAAAGGAAGCTTTTAAAATGCGAAAAATATATACATTAAGAATAATTTTCAGTAGCCAGTACTTACTACACAAAAAAAGTACTTACAACAATTAGGTAACTTACTTTTGATATCAGTTCAAAGCTTCTTGATATCTCTTATATTTATGAAATAATGCCTGGGCACACTTAATGGTTACACCTGTATACACTAGATTATATAATTGAAAATACTCATTGTAGTAGATATGTTTAAATTTTTATATATTTAATAAATATATAAAAATATATAATTTAGGCTATAATATTAGGGGTTAAAGTATGAAATTGCCGTTTTATTGCAATAGGTTCTTTGAATTTTCATAGAATCTTCATGGTTTGAGGTTTTCGAATGAAACTTTTTTCAAATGGTTTCTGTGATTTTCTTTTTTTTTTAAATTTGAAACATTTGAATATCGACTTTCAATTGTTTTTGTTATTCAATTTAGACAAGAAAGATGGATACTGCGAAAATTCGAGTGATTTTTGAATACGAGTTCCGACGCGGAACTAACGCGGCAGAAACAGCCCGCAATATCAATGCTGCGTTTGGAGAGGGGTCTACTAATGAACGCACCGTGCGATTTTGGTTTAAACGCTTTCGTGATGGAAATTTCGACTTAAAGAACGAGCCACGAGGAAGACCGCCCACACAGGTGAATAACGATGAATTAAGAGAGATAGTGGAAGCCGATCCTAGTCAAACTACCCAGGAATTAGCGGCACGGTTTAACGTTACCTTACCCACAATATTGACTCACTTGCGTCAAATCAATAAAATAAAAAAATACGAAAAATGGGTGCCTCATGATTTGACTGATCTGCAGAAAGAAACGCGTGTTGAAACTTGTGTTGCCTTGTTGAACCGGTACAGAAATGAAGGAATATTGGATCGAATTGTAACATGTGATGAAAAGTGGATTCTTTACGATAACCGGAAAAGAAAATTGCAATGGCTGACCCCAGGTCAAATGCCACAACAGTGTCCTAAAGCAAAACTTACCAATAAAAAGGTAATGGTAACTGTTTGGTGGTCTCAGCATGGTGTTATTCACTATAGTTTTCTCCGATCTGGTCAAGCAATAACGGCAGATGTCTATTGTGCCGAACTCCGAACCATGTTGACAAAACTAGCAGTAAAACAGCCCCGACTCATGAATCGATCTTCACCATTATTGCTCCACGACAACGCGAGACCTCACACAGCACGAGAAACCATTTTGACCCTTCAGGAACTGCAGTTAGAAACCATTCAAATCGGCAATTTCATACTTTAACCCCTATTATAAATATATTTAGGCTATTTTAAATATATAAATATATTTAAAATAGCCTTTAGAGGCATTTTTTCTAACATGTTTGTCGAACTTTAATTCCGGATCAAATGTTACACCCAGATTCCTTACTTAGCCTTATCAGCTATTGTTATATGCTTTTCGTGTACGTATACTTTCCATATGTATGGAATAATATCGTCGGCATTTCACAATACTTGTTACTTTGATGTCCTGATTAAGTTTCCATTGAACCTCCGACCCCAAAACCATAGGCAGTACAAGTTTTAAATTGGACTATTATTGTACTAAAATGTTTTATTGTACTTTTTAAAATACTTGTATGTATTCTTACAGTTATGAGACATCAAACGGGCTAAGGAGAGAAGAGACAGGGGAAGTGGTCTATGTAGGCAGAGAAGATGAACATATTGTGGTCCGAGGGATCTACTCCTACATCGACGCTGATGGTAAACCTCAAATTGTACAGTACTCCGCTGACAAAAAAGGATATGAGACAACACCTTTCACTCGCTTTCATTCAGTACGTAATTTTATTATTTAAGAGCGACAAAAATTGTAATGACAAGTAACTTTTGGTTTGTTGTAATTATTAATGCAAAGATCTAATCTAAATCTAACACTAAGAAAAATTCCTACGATCCGGCTGGTTTCGAGCCAGCGCCTTCAAGCAATTTGTGCTAGACGCTCTCTACGGAACGAACCACCAGATTTTACGAATTTTTCTATGTGCTTGTTGCGGATCTTTGCTCTTGGTTTTTAACGACATTTTGCCGTAGCGCCATCTGTGAGAAATCTATTTCTGTCTCAGTCATAATAATTATAACAAAGTGTACAGTAATTTCACAAAAAATAATGAAATGTCATGGAAGTAAAACATCCTGACATTCAATAAACCCAAAAAATGAGTAATTTTTATTGTTTTAATCTGGTATGCAATAAAAGTATTGAGTATTGAATAATACCACATTTTGTAAGAAGCATGTTACATGGTGTTTGAACTTAAGTTTGAACTCGAGGATATTTTTTATACAAACCGATAGAGACAACGTTAAACCACAATAATCCCCGATATAATTGTATCGATTTTTTAAAAATATCCTATTGATAACATATGTAGTTACAAAATATCGTAATTAAATAATACTCGTGAATGAAAATTATTTGAAAAAAACTGTGACTTTTGTGTAATGTCGGGTTTTTATACAATGCGTTACAAAAATTTCTTTTTTCATAAAGAAAACCTGAAATCTATATCATGGTAGTATTCTCAATATATAGCTCTTTGGGTGCATTTCGTGCATAATATTTTTCGTGAAAATTCTTTTTGGCACTTGCTATGAAATCCCAGGCTCCAGAGCACTTAATATAAAACGCCTTTCAACCGCGCGATACATTGTAATATTCGGATTGAATATGAATGAGTGAATTCCTAGAAGTATACTTGTGTCGCCCTTTTTAAATATCTTGCAAAAATCTTCTCAAATACTACCAGACGAGATGTTTTGCGCACTTGTCTAATGTGTCGATATAGATTTTTGAACAAAATATGAACGTTTAATGATGATGCTGTACCTTTTTCAGAAGGAGCCAGGTCCAGGTATTATGGCACGTCAACCTTTTGAGGTCGTAGCATCATTGTTAGGAGGATAAATAGGCGAAACTTTATGTTTCGTACCCTGCCTGACCTGCACGTTACACAACGCAACATAAATTCCAACATGCAATGATTTTTAATATGCTCGTGAAATATATTTTGAAATTTTTAATTATTATTTAATAAAATGTTTTTTGAAGATGTTCTTTTGCTCTTTTTTGTCATTTTTTTTACATAATATCTAACATGACGTTTTCAATAAGACAATGTTGCCTGTATACAACTTACTGCTGGGCACGGGTCCTCTGATGAAATAATCCGCAAGATACGGTATTAGGGGTTAATGTTTTTTTCCTATCCTATTTATTTATTTATTTTTCAGGTATAACCAACAATTGTACATGAAATGTTTACAATCAGAGTTAAATATTTCTAGCATAGGTACACGTACAATCAACAGCATTATCCACAAGTTACTATTAGAATTAAAATTAAAATTGTCGTGTGTGATGGGTAGGGCTAAATAAACTAAAACAAATAAAAGGTAAATAAGAAATTAGCTCAGGGCATCAATAATAGCTTTTTTAAATTTAGAAGCAGGCAAATGGAATATGTCAATATTGCTAAACAAATCATTGTAATGAGAAAGAATACGACGTAGAGGAACTCGCTTGCCAGCATTTGTTCTGCAGGTCGCCGTTTTAAACAACGAGTAGGACCGCAGTTGCCGTCGATAAACTCTCATTGGTACATTATATCTAATATGTTGCACAAGATCCGGGTAATCAATTAAATTGTGACAAAGTCTATGGAGTGTTACAGATTGAAGAAGCATTCGTCTATTGTGAAGTATTAGCATTCCAAACTTAGATAGTAAACTCTCGTATGACGTAATTTTTCTAAATATTTTATAATTTATCGACTTAAGGAATTTAGCTTGAATTTTTTCAATTTGTTCTGAGTATTTTTTATAGTAAGGGTTCCAGGGATATGGAAATGATAATTTAAAAAGATAAAACCGTTTTTTACCATTACTTAAAATAAGCATTAAAAAAACAGCGTATTCACTTAACAAAATTACGGTCAACTTTAAGTAGCTGGTCTATAGATGTTTATGATAACTTAACATCAGTGACATTGAGTATCCTAGAAAATATTTAACCCTGAACAAATATGTATTATATTTATTTAATCGTACATACGAGAGAGTGAGTAAACAGACGTCTGTTTACTCATTTTGTTTATCGTTAAATGTAGAAGATCTGCACCTTTTTTCAAAAACCACCGATTTATTTGTTTAATCGTAGTAGTAAATTAAATAAAATAGTTTGCACCCTTGGTGTCATAAGGTCATGTCTACAAAATGACATAGTATGGCTTTATTATACAAAAAGCACGAGTTTACATTATTTATGATTGATTGTTGACCATCTCGATTTCAAAACAAAGCGCATCGTCAATGTCGAGAGAAAACGGCATTTTTTTATAATATAAACTGGCGGGACGAACTAGTCTTGTGCCGAAGCTACACGCCTGTCCATAAAAATTGCAGTTCCACTCGGAGCTTTAAATCGCAAAGATCTGACGGGCACTGCCATTGCGCCCGTCACTCTGAGACTAAAGTTGACAAATCCCATGTGCCTGTAATTTCACCAGCACCCTTACGCATAAAAACCGGAACGCAATAATCTTGACATTACCGCTTGGCGGCAGAAATAGCTTACCTTACGATGTCAGTACTACCCTGGACGGACTCTTTCACAAGGAGCTCTACAGCTACTACTACATCACTAGAAATAAATGTCTAACGCTATAGTCTAACGCTATAGGTAACGTGATATAACGCTATAGGTAAGCTTTTGTCGAAAGCTAAAAACTGTTTGCGATTTATCTACGCCATGTTTTTGCTCTAGAGTTGGAACCAGGAACCCAAACAAAGGATCTTAGTCGCAACCTAGGTTGCCAGTATTCGCAGGGAAACGACTCAATTGTTGAATATTTTTAAGTGTAAAATTGGTATTCAAAATAATTAACATTCTACGTATGGTAGGTACATATAACGTAATATGGCCCTGTTTACGCCAGTAAAATAACAATTAATGTTATTGTAGTGATTAATAGGACTGGTTACTACAAGGGGGTTAAATTACAGGCACCTTACATGTAACAGTTGTACAGTGCTTCTATTTTCTCAATGTCCCTCGGCAAACTTCGTGTTTCGATAGTCGTCGGGTTTTATTTAGTTGCCCTTTGCCTTTGGTACAGACTGGATGCTTTCAGTCGACTTGGAAGTATATAGAGTTACTTTACATTTTTTATTTAACAATGGGAGGAAAGCTGCTGAAGTCACAGGCACGACGTATAATTCACAGCGTGTACTTGTATTTTTTTACAAGAAGCCGTTACGTTCAAGAAAGACAACAATGGTTATTATCAAAAAGTCTGAAAACGTGTTTTTGTAGCTTGTGGTGTTTCAAACGGAACAGTAAAGAATATGAACAACACATAATTAACATGAATAACCGGAAAAATATGCATTTTAAGGTATATAAAAGAAGCACACTTTATTTACTTCATATTTTTGTTAACTTGCTTAATGACATGTAGTAAATGTTATTAAAAACAGGGAAATAGTTTTACAGCTCTATATAGTCCACACGGAAATCAAAACAAAACAACAATAAGGCTCAACTCACACTGGCGCAGAGTCGTAGCTTCGCGACGCATCACGTTTTTCGCCTATAGCATATTCATCTCTATTTTCCCATTATTAAGGTACAAATTTGTGTTATGCAAATATGGAAACGGGCGTCGACTCTTGGATGCAGTCGAGCGGCTTCGCGCGTTAACGCGCGTCGATGCGCGTTACTTGAACGCAGTGAGGCGTCAGACGCCGACCACACTGTGATCCGGGTGCACTAATGCAAGCCGCCAAGAGTTGTAGTTGAAAACCAGGACGCGACGCGACGTTTCGACTCTGTGCCAGTGTGAGTTGACCCTAAAGGGCGTTGTTCAAAATTCACATTATTATATTTATAACTGTACAGTTCGTATAATCTAAACCAGGATTTGCTAATGATTAATAATCAATACCGCTTTAATAAACGAAAATGACAATATTTATTGACCTAGAAGATATACAATTTTATGAGAGAGGAACTATTTTCTTAGGTTTTCGCGATTGTTACGCATAGGAAATGAAACTATTTTTCCGGATTTAAATCGCGTATATTTGTTTTTTCAAACATACCGTCGTTTCGGGCCCTTTACAGGTCACGGTTGACTGAGGTGTAAATATATATATATATATATATATATATATATATATATCATATATCAACCTGCTCAAATATACACACACAGTTACATTAAACGATCGCTAGATGTCTCTAAATTTAATTATATAGAGTAGAGGTATCCGAACTTACGCAGGATAGAAAAAAGGCAAAAACTTTGATTTAATAAATATTGTGTACTTTTGGAGTGTCAATTATGTTAACTAGACTGCCGAAATGGGGCCTACGAAACGTGGGCGCGTAAGAGATTTCTTATAACTACAACACTATGATTTTTTTTGTAAGAAAAATAAGTGGATACAAATTATAATATATCGTTCGTGGGTTTGCGAGCGAAATATTAAGTCACTATTTTATTTAAAGTCTCATTAATTTTAAAAATTATTATTATTATTATTTATATTTCATTATTATATAATTATAGATGAATAGGGACACAGTTAGTGAGGCACTGCACTTCTTTAGGGACTTATAATATACCACGAAAATCACAAACTTCTGTTTAAAAAATTAAAATTAAAAATTACTTATTTATTATTATATATATATATATATATATATATGTATATATATATATATTATAATAAATTACTATTTGTAAAAAATATTTTATTGCAACAAGCCTATTAAGGCTATTCGCGTTAAAACACACATGTAGTAAATTTTATACTTAACACTACAGTTAAAGAACGCAACCTTTGTTTGCAATATTTTATATACCTGGTTTATAAAATCATGTTACACTGGGTAATATAAATGGGTGATATAAATATAAAATTAAAATGGATAAAGCCAAATTGTTAGTAGAATGTGCGTAGCAATACATTGTTCTTATATTTATTCTCAATTACAAAATTATGTATCCGCAGTGTCACAGAAAATGTGAAAATCAACAAAGGGTCGAGTTGTGTCTATTGTAAGATTTTGAGAAACTGTTGGCGGTTAACCTCCGCCATGTTTTTTAATTTCCTCTACTGTGTCCTTTTTTGATGATCGCGTGAGAATTAAGCCTCAGGAACTCACATTAAAGATCATAATCGCAATCTCAGGCATTCGGTATTTGCCGTGATTTTTTTTTGTCGGTCAGGTAGCACTATTCATAATTATGTATGTACGTATACAAAGAAATAGACACATTTATGTCGATAAGATAATTATGACTTGTTGTGATGAAGACTCCAACTGGTTAATGCAGGGTCAAATCATAAACACGCTTTAAACGTTAAGGTTGTGTGGCCAGTTTCTAAATAAAGTATGTATAAAATTTATTACTTTTATATAATCTCAAATTCATAGTATAAATTAATCTGTGATGTAGTCTTTATTGCTGAGTTCGTGTTGTAAACTCTTAACTCTTACTTACTTAGTGTTTATGTAGTAATACCAATTCATTTGATTAGAACGAGAATAAATATTGACTTTGAAGATATTAATTAAAGTGTTAGGTAAAAAAGCATTATCTGTCTAATTTTCAGATGTATACAACCATATTATTTTCTTTGTGGCGATCGTGCTTGCTACTTCCGCGCCAGTGAAGGACGATGCGTAGGCGCGTATACTCAAATACGAATTTAACAACGATGGTAGTGGAAATTACAAGTTCAGGTAAGACACTAAAGCCTTGGAAAAAAAAGCCTGCCATCTCTAAACTTTTTTAATTTTTTTTTTGAGTGACGCCACAGCCGACAGAGGAGAGAAAGGTTTTTTGACGCGCTCGAATTTTGTTTATTTCCACTCATGCCAAGCCTACAGACTACAAGTATCAAACTGTGGCCTATCTCTTTGAACTAGAAGACAGTGAAATGACACTATAAATTGGTACTATTAACGCAATTTTACATCACAATTTTAAAGTTTACGTTACTGTTAAACATAAAAAATATTTATGTTTTGAGTCGGTAGGCACAGTCGAAAGAAATGTAAAATAATCTCAGTACAGAGTACTATAAAAGTGGACCTCAAAAGTTCGTGAAAATTCTATTTCTACTATTTATATTCTATCTATTTGCTACCCTCTTTCCAACAAAAAGAGAATCATCAAAATCGGTTCACAAATTACCGGATATATATAACCGGAGTTATCTCATAAAATACATACAAAGAAAAATACAGTCGCATTTATTATCCTATTTTTAAAGTTACTTAAAAAATTAAATAAAAGCACATAATATTTTACACAAACAATAGACCGTGTATGTAAATGGTATTCTTATATGACACGCTATACATACATGTAAATGGGGCGAAAGTCTACTTTAATATTATTATTTATTTTTTCTTTCATAATTAAAAGGTTGCAACCATGATAAATTACTTAAAGATACTACTAAAAATTGAGGATAAATTTTGACAGCAGGACTTCAATGAGCCTCAATTTAACAAAAAAATTGTAAACTGACACTCAGTTCAGACCTCAAATATCTTAATTATTAATTAGATACACGCCACATTTATTCGCCTTGAGTCGGTCAGAAAAATGTCCATGCAATAAGAGCCAAAAACACGTTACGCATTTCGCTACCGCTCGGATCACTAAGGCGAAATGCACAATTTTCGCTCTTATTATATTACATTGTAAACTACGGACCCGAAACGCCCTTACTTTTCCTGATTCCTGAAAGAGTTCCAACTAGTATTTACTAATGTATTAGTGTCTTAATTACTTCAAATACCCATTTTATCAACGCATTTTATGCTATTTTTAGCAGTGCCAGTGTCACTTTGACAGTTTACTTACTTTTCATATCTGATCTCCGAAGCTATTCGTTTTTCCAGTGCTAATTACGTATTATTTCGGTAATTTCACGTTATAAGTATTTTTGTGGGTGCATTTATTTCGTATTTAATATTTTGATATGTTCACATTGAATGACAGATCTGTTATTCCTCTACAACCTATTCTTCCACAGACTATCCTACAAATTACTCCTTACTTTGTTATATAATCTTGGCAGTAGTGTTTCCGCTACTGGTCGCTCATATTTTGGCTCTGCATTTCAAATTGAAAATTCGCTATTCGATATAAACGTCTTGTTATATTATTTTATCATTCTACATCCTTTGATTTCATTTCTTCCTACCTCTGCCTAGCTATCCACCCCGACATTCTAGCTCTTCTACTCCGACAACATGGACATAAAGATTTTTCAGACCGGCTTAATGCCATTTAACTGCCTCCGTGGTCGAACGATTACCATGCCAGACTGCCACGCAAAAGGCCGGGAGAAATCATTGTGTGGCCTACATCTATTTCTCTCGTGAGTTTGGGTGTAATTTGTCGTTGTCGATATGTGTGTCGATGACACTCGCGACACAGGGTTTCCCTAGTGCGGGGCTATGTCTGTGTGCGTTATTATAATTATTATTATTCTGTGTCGATGAATGTGGTGACTCCCTTAGTTTAAGAAAAATTTGTGAAAAGGTAATTTTTGAATATTTTTTAAAATTTACATTTTATGGTTTCATGTGTAGCTTCGTACGTTTGTTTAAAGGCCTACATCTATATTAGTTATAAACTTTTAAGGTTTCAAATTTAACCAAGGTCACCGACCTTGTATTATTTATTGTTACCAACCCTATACAGCACAGGGGCAGCCCATATTTAATTTTATTCCCACAATATTACTTGAAATGATACTAAAGTACATACCTAATTATTTTAATTTGGGTGCTATTTTGATGTATAATAAACATTGACTTTATTTTTTTATACATCAAAATTACATCTAAATATACATTATTATACTTTAGTATGATTTCAACTACATTGAAGTAAAAAAAATTAAAGTGGGTTACACCACTCTTGCGCTAATAGCCTTATTAGAGTTATATTTTGAAAAAAATTAAATACAACGTGACTAATTAAAATTTTGGTTAAGAACTTCGGTCATGCACTTCTGACGATTGCCAAATATTGGTTTAAAGCAATATCTAAAGGTAGTCATCGTTTATGTCATCTTAGACTTCTTGAGGAAGATTTAATCAATTTTGAGCTAGTTAACTTTAACCCGATACATCATCTGTCACTTTATATAACAGGTAGGTAGGATTTAACATAATTATTTACACAAATAAATTCACATTTCAAATCAAAAAGCTTAGTTAATTTTTTTTTTAATTTAAAAATTTTGTCCTATTTTTCAATTATCAGGAAAAAAATGGAGTCGATGTAACTTTTTAAGTAAAATAACTTCTTGATAAAAAAAGTGGGTGGGATAATTAGTTTTAAATATTGACCAATAACAGCGCAGCAATTGTCGTAGGTTGCAAGATTTTCTCGATTTTGAGATAATGCATTCTCAATGTCTGCAGAAAATCAAAGTAGCGCTGAGGGTCGACTTATGTCGTGAGATTATGACAACGCCAAAACTATTTGCGGTTGACCTCCCGAATGTTTTTTTTATAATTTCCTCTATTATAACCTTTTTTGCGTCGCACCATAGTTGAGGCTGAGGAATCCACATTAAAGATCTTATAGTCAACGAAGGTAGTCGGTTATTGCAGTGAAACGGCAAAAATTACTATCACTTTTTGTGCGTGCGATAGTGTTATTCATAACTATGTATAACATACCTACATGTTTATTCTGTAATAACTGTGCATATTTACGTCTGTAAAATAAGAAATATTGTAGTGTATATCACCATTCGTTCCTTCAGGGACAAATAGCAGACCAGCGTTGAACGTTAAGGTGTAACCACAATCTATTGGCTAAGAACAAGGTAGGTACGTGTTAAAATTATACTCGTTGATTAAAATATGTTTTTAGAAATAACTAAATTAGTGGCTCTACTCTCAGCTAAGATTTGCTGACATGTATGTAAGTTTCAATACCAATGTAATCAACGAACCGATATAACGGATATAAAGTTATATTTCAGATGTATACAACCATACTTGTATTCTTTGTGGCGATAGCGTTAGCTGCTTCCGCGCCAGTGAATGAAGATGCGCAGGCGCGTATACTCAATTATGAATTCACTAATGACGGAAGTGGAAATTACAAGTTTAGGTAAGATACTTTAAGCTTTGAGAATTGTAGGTTATACAGAACGACTTCCTCGTATTACTAGTTCTCTAAACATAAAGTTCAAGAACGTGACCCCAAAATGGAACGCTTATTCTGTATTCGTACTTCAAAACGAAAACAAATGTTTTATCTAAACTAAAATACTGAGAAAATGAAATTAATGAAATAAAAAAGAACAAAATAACATAAAAAATAAAAGAAAAAGGTTTGGAATAATAACATCGATATATTACTATATTTGTTAGTTTGATGTCTTGATTAAGTTTTAATTAAGTTATGGCCGCAACACCGTAGACATTAACTACATGCGTTGATAAATAATTATATATATTATTGCAGTTATGAGACATCAAACGGTCTAAAGAGAGAAGAGACAGGAGAAGTGGTGAATGTAGGCAGAGAAGATGAACATACTGTGGTGCGGGGATTTTACTCCTACATCGACGCTGACGGTAAAATCCAAAATGTATCGTACACTGCTGACGAAAACGGATTTCAGCCAGAGGCTTCTACTGAAAGCGTACGTAACTTCATTACTATTCGAACCACATAAAAGCGGACTATTTATTTATATTTGAATGAAAAGTAACTCTTAGGGTCGTATTCCAGAACTCTACTCATTGCTCAAGTCAGGATTTGAGTATGATTTCAAGCACTGGAAATACGACCCTAAACGCCAGGACTTGAGTATAATTTCTAGTGCTTTAAATCATACTCAAGTCCTGACTTGAGCATTGAGTAGAGTTCTGGAATACGACCCTTTGTGTTTAGTCAGGTATGCAATAAAAGTATTTAGTATTGAATATTGTCATATTTTGTTGGTAGCATTTCGTATGGTTTTAATTTATATTTGAACTCGAAGGATTTTTTTAGATGATACGATAAAGAGTACATAAAAGCTGTGATATTTTGTGCAGTGTCGTGTATATATGCAATATGTAAATAAGTGATTCAATAAGTGATGAATAAGTATTCTTCTGTCGAATTACTTTACTTACTTATTTACTTCACTGGCTCAGCGACCTGAAGTGGATCTTCGACTCCGACACCAAAGTATGCCATTTTCTTTCGGTCTTGTGCCAATTCCGACCATTAGGACACATTCAGCTTCGTCAGGTCTTTAGTGGCTCCATCCTTCCAGCGATACTTCGGACGGCCTACTGAACGATGACCTGTAGGTTGCTGCAAATACTCTCTTTTGGCAGCTCGATCCTCTCCCATTCTTTTCACGTAAACACGAATGAATTATATTACTCAGGAAATTTTGATAAATTTGTGCCTAAAAACTGTGACATACACACTTTCATTAAAAAAAAAACTCTAAAAAAGTTTTACTGTTCTAAATCCACAGATTTTCCGGTGTATTTTCGATACAATTACATTTATCATGAAAATTATTTTTGACACTTACAACACACCTACGAAATCCGAGGCCCTAATTTAAAATGCCTTTTAACCGCGCGGCAACATGAGAAATTCGGATTGAATATGAATCAATCGATTTCGAGAAGTAAACAGTGTTGTCCTTTCCAAATACTTGCAAAAACTTCTCAAATATCAGACATGACTCTTGTGTCATGTACTGCTATGATCTTTTTAATAAAAATTTAGGTTTTACTTTGACACTGTACTCTTTTCCGGGGCTGTTTGAAAAGCAATGAATTTTGATTCTTTGTACCTAAATATATATTTGTGGTGTTCCATTTTACGATGGGCCATGGCAGAATAACTGCAAGGGCTATGTAATTAGCATAGTCCTGAGTTTGGACCATTTTGTCATGCTTTTTAGTTTTAAATTGATTTCTTTTTTTAATTTTTTTTTGTTCGTTTAAAGTTTATAATCTTGCATGTCAAATAAAACCGATTTTATGTTTATTTATTTATTTTCAGCTGACGGAAGGGCCGGTTTTAGAGGCTCTACCTCCTGATGTCGTAGCATCATTACTAGGAAGATAAATGGGCACTTCTTAATATCTCATTCATTATTTTGTGTTCTCATTTATAAATGTACTCGTATTTTGAAATTTTTCTCTCGCTCCATATATGATAAGCATACACAAGAAAATCCCCAGTAGATCACACTCATCAGAATCCGTACTGGCGATCACTGAGGAGGTCGTCGTCTTCAAAGTACGATAGGAGACTGTTATTGAGTACACGTTCCATAGTCTTGCAGAGTATGGAAGTGACTGAGATAGGTCTATAGTTGACAGGGTCAGCTCTACGTCCCTTTTTTGGCACAGGTCCCACGTGTGCAAGCTTCCACGACCTATAAACTACACCAGTCTCAAGTGAGAGGCGGTACAGGCGTGTGAGAACAGGAGATAACTCAGGCGCACAGTTACGCAGGACTATTGCTCGAATTCCGTCTGGCCATAGGCGCCATAGTGCAGTCAGCCTGAGGTAAAGTAGGGTAGTGGTAGGGTTCCTGCGACATCCAGACGCGAACTCTCTGGAAAGAGTGAGGCAAAGAGATTCGCCTTCTTTTCCGCAGTATGAGCTAGCAAGCCATCCGGCCTCAGCAGAGGTGGCAAAGATGAGCGACAAAAGTTAGATTCGACCGCTTTGGCCAGGCACCAAACGGATTTGCTGCCTGCTGGAGAATGGACAAGCTTGGGTCCTATGTGGCGCACGTGATCGAACTTGGCCCTACGTAATATGTTTTTGCACGTCTTGGCGGCCTTATTAAAAGCTTTCTTCAAATTCTGAGTACTCGGAGCTTTGCGTAGTCGAGCATCTGCCCAAGCTTGGTACGTGGACTGTTTATGTACTTCAGCACAACTGCAATCAGCATCAAACCATGGACGAGCTTGGGGTCCATTGGGTATATCAGAGTGTGGTATGTAATACTCCATACCCAAACGCAAGACTTCGACTACAGCATCAGCACAGCTCGACGAGTCTCCTGAAGTAAAGCACGCCTGTCAGGGATATGATGCAAAGAAATATCGCATTTCGTCCCAATCTGCTAACTTGTAACTAGAAAAATATTGATTTGTAATGATTAAAAGTTAAGTTGAACTTATTTATTGAGATATGTCTCTTCAATATTTTTTATTTCTTATTTATTAGCACATGGTAAAAAATTTTTCGTTAAATAAAAATACGCGATGTTTATTTCGTAAAATTATAACAGCGCCAACTATACACTCCTTGGCGAAACTAACAGTTCACACTAAACTATAGTTCCGAATTCACAACGTGATTATCAAAACTCAGCTTGTTTTATTTATTTTTCTTCATGAAAATGCGGAAAAATTATTGAAAACAACATAATTTTAATAGATTTTATTTTTACATACTTTTCTTTTTTAACAATCAAAATTTTCTGAATGTGAATAACATTAAGTACTTAAACATGATACTATGATAAGACGATTCGGAACATCAAAAAAGAAAGAGATGGCATTATACATATAGTTCACATAGCGTTATCTCTTTAATATTTTTAGTGAGGAATAGACAATATTGGGAGATCATTCGTTCTTTAATCACTTTTGCAGTAATACATTACTTGATTGACAGGTTAGTCTTGGTACGAATATGAGTAATAATATAATAAGCTTACTTCAGCTTACATTGAAATGGTAGGCCCCCAGTGATAGTTGTCGCTAGCAGCGTAAATTACTTCTCAATTATACATTACACCTAGCGGTCACAAGCAGAAGCAATATTTCATATACAAATATTTTACTTCTCAAATATCAGATATGAGATGTTTTACGCAGATGTCTTGTGTAGTTATGGTTTATTTGAAATAAACTTATGTTTAGCCTTGGTACTGTACTCTTTTCCGGGACTGTTTGAAAAGCAATAAATTTTTATTCCTTGTACCTAAATATATATTTCAGATGTTATATATTACGACGGGCCATGGCAGAATAACTGCGAGGGCTATGTAATTAGCGTAGTCCTGAGTCATGGACCCTTTTGAAAAGCTTTTTTTATTTTGATATGATTTTTTAAAATTTTCTTGATTGTTTAATGTTTGTAATTTAAGTATTTTGCAAGTCAAATAAAACTGATTTTATTTTTAATTATTTTCAGGTGACGGAAGGGCCGGTTTTAGCGGCTCTACCTCCTGATGTCGTAGCATCATTGTTAGGAGGATAAATGGGCTAAACATGATATTTCGCATCGTGATCTGCACGCTAGACAACGCAAAACAAATTCGTTTAAAAAACTTTTTTTTTCATAGTCCCGCACTAGGGAAACCCTGTGTCGCGGGTGAAATGTAGTTGTCTATGTGTGTGTCACACATAGACAACTACAAATTACACCCTAACTGACGAGAGAAACAAATGTAGGCCATACAAATATTTCTCCCGACCCGGGACCTCTGCGTGGCAGTCCAACATGATAGCCGTTCGGCCGCCAAGGCAGTTTTATTTAATTACTTTTAATTACTCTTTTGATGTGTAATGTGGTATATTATGTGTTCTTAAATATAAATGTATATTGAAATTCTTTCTCTTTTATTGAAATAAATAGTACTTGAAAAAGATATTATGTTGTTCATTTGTTACATGATACCTAATATAACGTTACCAACAAGAGAATGTTGCTTGTAAACGTCTCACACACTGCAGGGCACAGTTCCTCTGTTGAAATAATCCATACGAAAATGATATTAAGTGTTTATTTTCTTAATTTCTATCCAATTCTTCTTTACCTACAACATTATGTTGTCCTATGAAAGTAACTTTTACGTTCACTTCGATGCAAGCACAGACCCATAACTTTCTAAATAAGTTTTGTTTATAGTGCCCCTCCCTATAAACCTATTGGTTATGCGGACCATCTAAGTCAGGTCCTAACCCTGGATCAGCACGTTTACATGCACTTCATCCGGTTCTCTGTAAGGCTAGTGCCTTAGGTGAGCCGCCCCGGGTGCACGTACAACACCCTCCCTATTTTCCAGATAGGTACCGGAGCTAACTAGGACTAAAGGTTGCCACCGCAAAGCTGCCGACTCTAAGCCGACTACCAAATCTCCTCATTGGTGGCGGAGCTGTAAGGCACGCTCACTTCCCGATGCTGAATGAACGGCGTCTCTTCAGTTCCCAAATTCCTACGCGGCCGGAGGGACCGGAAGATGTCTAGCTCATCCTCTACTAGCTCTCCGGGCTAGTGGCGGAGATGCCAAGAGGCAGTGTCCTGTGACAATGTCCGGACATAGCCACCGACTTAAAGGGCAACTCACGTGCCCCGCGCGTCTCCTCGCCTCAGGCCTTCAATTATACCGCTACTAAGACGCGCTAGCTGCACGCGAGACGAACGCCCCGGTCACCAGCTACCGGGGCTGACGAACGTGTTCGTCCCTGCAGCTAACCACAAACCCCGGCGAGTCCATACCCAAGTCCGTGTGACGGTGTGACCTCCTTACATCGTCATCCCACCTTTTTATCACCTTTCTCCGGTTTCTGGACACTCGTATTTAAATTTAAATTTTGAATTGTTCATAGTTCTTTTGCCTCGCATTCTGGTTGTTTCGTTTCATCGTCACTCCCTGCTCGAACATGTCTTCTTAGATTTTTGAGCCGTTTACCAGTCACCAAAAATCTCTAGTGCGAACATTTTAAAGATCATAAATATTGTAAAAACCGGATTAAATATTTATAAAACTGGATTTATTACCGCTAGTTCCTTACCCTTTTGAATTTTGAACTTTAAACGTACTAAGCAAAATGTACAGAGGCGCGCTGGCTGCGGAAAGCACTACTAATCTGCCTAATTACTCTCCTGGCTACGTTATAATCTTCAGAATGTTCCAAGCGGAATCTACATTATAATCCATCAGCGTCAGCAGTGCGTCTTTCATCCAGGTCCGCCAGAAACGCTCGTGAGCACATATACCTGCCGGAGGGCTTGGTCCGGACACCCGCCGTACCCTGGTCTTACTGTCGAGCCCGTAGTCTCTCCGGAAAACCCTATCTCTCGGGTCAGTAGATAGGGACTGATAGGGGTCGATACAAGCACAGTCACCAATGTCGCTATAGCAGCAGTAGAGCTCCTTGTGAAAGAGTTCATCCGGGGAAGTAATGCCACCTTACCTATCTCTGCCGCCAAGCAGTAATGTTTTGAAGGGTAAGGGTGCTGGAGAAATTACAGGCACTTGGGACCTCTTATGTCTCTGGGTGACGGGCGTAGTGGCAGTGTTCCTCAGATCTTTGCGATTTAAAGCTCTGAGTGGTATTGCAACGGTTATGGTTACTGTTAGCTTACCATCGACAACGACGACGAAATACCAACAAATGTGATAAAACACTGTAATAAGCAACTGACGCCTCCTCTCACAAACTTAATTAATCTGTCGATTGAAAAAGGCATATTTCCCGAATTGTTAAAAATTTCTTTAGTGAAACCAATCTATAAAAAAGGCGCAAAAGCATGCATTGAAAATCATCGACCTATAACTTTAATCCCCGTGCTGTCCAAAATATTTGAGAAATGCACGAAGAAGAGGCTGCTAAGTTTTATTAATAAGCACAATATAATCAAACAAGAGCAATGCGGGTTTCAATCGAAAAAATCTACTACACTGGCTGCATTTCATCTTGTACGTCAGATAGTGGAGAACACTAATGCAAAAATACCTACAACGGTGATATTTTTTGACATAACTCGCGCGTTTGACTTTGTATCTCATGACATTTTGCTGAAAAAACTAAATAATTTAGGTATTAGAGGCGTGACTCTTAACTGGTTAGCTTCCTATTTGGAAAATAGGAAGCAAGCTGTAGAAATAAAACATTTAAATAAAAACGGCTGTGTTATATCAGCAAGATCGCAATATAGAGTCAATGCGTGTGGTGTCCCGCAAGGTAGTGTTCTCGGGCCATTATTATTCTTGCTCTACATAAATGACCTACCAGAGGTTACACGACACAAATGCATATTATTTGCAGATGATATTTCAGTCGTAATTGATTACAAAAATGACATAATTAACTACGAATTAGACATAAACAATTCAATACATGTAATAATAAATTGGCTTAAACTTAATAATTTGACTGTTAACTTGACTAAAACTAAATTCATTCAATTTGGTACAAATAGACAAACAAAAATGAACCTTAACATAAATTACAAGGATGTCAGTATTCAGGAGGCGGACTCTACAACATTCTTAGGCGTGGAAATAGACAGTAGTTGCAACTGGTCACAACACGTCGAGTCACTGGTAGATAAAATACATCGATACGTATACGTCTTAAGGAGGTTGCGAAATATATCATCACCATCTACAGTCTTGACTGCTTATCATGGTTACGTTGCGTCTCTGCTAAGATATGGAATCTTGGTTTGGGGTAAATCAACTGAGTGTAAAAAATCGTTCACAGCTCAAAAAAAGTGTGTTCGAGCAATGACCGGGGTTTCCCCACGGGAATCTTGTGCACCTTTGTTTAAAGAATTGGGAATTTTGCCGTTACCGTGTATGTACATTTTTGAAGTGGCATGGTTTGTTAAGCAAAATCTAAACCTTTTAAAAAAAATTACAGATGTACATAGTAGAGGTGTAAGGGACCCAAATAGACTGGTGTATAATAATAAACCTAGATTGTGTTATTACAAAAATCAATGTAACGGTATGGTGACATTAAATTAGTGCTAAATGTATATACATGTACAATGTAATAATGATGTATAAATAATTTATAGTGTGACATAGAAGGTTATTATTTTGTTGTTTTTTCATTGACTGATTATTCTTTAATTAAATTTTTATTGAATTGATATTCAATTCTTTTTTGTGAAATTACTCCACTAGTTTGTTATAATTATTAATACAAAAATCGAACACTCAGAAAAAACACTCAGAAAAATTCCTTTTGTACTTGGTCTTTCAACGACTTTTTAGTCGTAGCGCCATCTATGAGAAATCTATGACAGATTTATCACCCAGTTAGTACCTTTACAGCTACCAGTCCTGGCGAGAGATGTCGCTATTCACTATATTAATTAAATTTTTATTGATTTGATATTCAATAATTTTTTGTGAAATTACTCAACTAGTTTGTTATAATTATTAATACAAAGATCGAACACTCAGAAAAAACACTCAGAAAAAATTCCTTCGATCCGGTCGGATTCGAACCGACGTCTTCTTGCATACCATGCCAGACGCTATACGAACTAAGCCACGGAGCGAACCAACGGACCTCACGAATTTTTCTACGTGCTTGCGTCGTGTCTTTGTACATGGTCTTTCAACGACTAAAAAGTCGTTGAAAGACCAAGAATGATTATTCTTTGTTTCTTATTGGATGTCGACATGAAATTATAAGTGAAATTATATGTTTTATGTAATCATGATGTATGATATTTAATAATTTGACATTGATAGTTTATTATTCTGTTGTTATTAATTAATTAATTAATTAATTGGTTATTATTATTACTATTCCTTGTACACGTCCGATGACAATGCTATAATTAAACTAAATTTAAGCAACATTTTGCATGCCTAGTCAGGTAAAGCATGTGTTCTGTAAAAATTGTTCCATCTTTCACACCATGTTTTAAGCAAATAAAATTTCATTTCATTTCATTAGGCGCACGACTCGTTCGTCCCGTCACTAAATTTAAAAAAAAAGTGGATTTTACTCTACGTGGTGAGAGGCTTAGGTTTTTGCATAGATCGGTTTATGAATATAATATTATATACTACTAGTCATCGTATATGGCAAAGATGCTTTGATCGTGAGTGTCCTTCAATGAGTGTCCGCGATAACATTGCTGTGTTAGAACAAATGTTTTCCAGGTAGTAGGGCACGATTCTATGATTGCACGATGATACTATACGAAGTATGGTACCTATCTAGTGAGCCGCAAAATAAACTTATACAAATCAGTGGATTAATATGAAAATTATTTCTTAAATAAAAATAAATAAATACATCATTGAATTACAGTTTGTGTGAAAATTTGATGGTCAATGACATTTTCGAGTTTAGGTTATGGCTTTCGATCATATGCTTATGATAATTCACCATCATCATATACAGCCTGACTTTACCCACTGCTGGGTATAGGCCTCCAAGTTTTTGTGCCCCTCTCCACGATCCTGCGTTAGTCTCATCCAGGTTCGCCATGCGAACCTTGCGATATAATCTGCCCATCTCGCCGCGGGACCGGATATTCTTGTACCCAGGCCTTGGACGCCACTCAGTTATCGCCTTACTCCATCTGTCATCT